AACTGGACTCAAGAATTACTATTTACCAGCAACTGTTGTGTGACTTCCATCTTCCCTCTTTTTGAAAAATAGAATCTATAACAGTTATCCTTTCCTTGTGGTTAAGAGCTCAGCTGCTAACCAGCAGTTTGGCAGTTCGAATTCACCAGCGGCTCCTTGGAAACCCTATGGGGCAATTCTATTCTGGCCTATAAGGTCGCCTATGAGTTGGAATTGACTTGATGGCAACAGGTTTTTTTTTTTTTTTTTTTTTTGGTTTAACGTCTCCTATAGTATAATAATAATTGTAATTTCTTTCCTGGTTTGTAGTTGAAAACATGGTAGCAGTTGGAAAAACCATCCTCAAAAGGAATAATTTCACTGACTTTAAAAATGTGAGGTATGTTTACTTCCAGATAAAATCAATGTTATATGTTATTGGTTTTTATGAAATTTAATTTTTTAATGCAAAATGGAAGCAAAGACGGCAGAGTTCATAGTTTAAGTGCAGCTTTCCTAAAAGTGAGAATATAGTTCATTTGTAGTGTAAATTTAATAAACAAAACTTCTTCCTCTCATGTGTTAACATCTTCTAATAATCTCCACTTATTGTTTGAGCAGACAAGTATATACAATGGGTTATTGTGTGCCGTCAAGTAGATTCCAACACACAGCAATCCTATAGGACAGAGTAGAATTGCCCCATAGGCTTCCTAGGCTGTCATCTTTACAGAAGCAGACTGCCACATCTTTCTCCTTCAGAGGGCTGGTGAGTTTGAACCGCCAACCTTTCAGTTAGCAGCCGAGTGCTTAACCACTGTGTCACCAGGGCTCCTTACACAATGGGTAGTAGGTAGAAATTTTTACAAGTCCCCCTTGCCTTGTTTAATACACATATTCCTATAAAATTGTGTGTAAATTGAATTTTCTTAGAAAAACTTTTATGTGATTTTAAAATACATTATTATACTGCTAGCATGAAATTAGGAGCCCTGGTGGCATAGTGGAGCCCTAGTGGCGTAGTGGCTAAGAGCTTGGCTGCTAACCAAAAGCCGGGCAGTTTGAATCTACCAGCTGCTCCTTGGAAACACTATAGGACAGTTTTATTCTGTCCTGTAGGGTCGCTATGAGTTGGAATTGACTTGACAGCTATGGGTTTTATTTTGTTTCTTTTTGGTGGTGAAGTGGCTAAGAGCTCAGGCTGTTAACCAAAAGGCCGGTAGTTCAAATCCACCAGCCGCTCCTTGGAAACCCTACAGGACAGTTCTACTCTGTCCTATAGGGTCGCTATGAGTCGGAATCGACTTGACGGCATACAACAGCAACAGCATGAAATTAATTTGAAGTCATTGTCTGCTGAACTGATGATTGCCAGAGTTTTTGCAAAAGCACACTACGTTCACTTTGTCAAATGTTTTAATTAATCTGAGCAATGTTCTTCTTTTTAAAAGATAATCTGACTTTGCCTTGTTGTGACGAAGGCAGTACAGTATAGGGGAGATTACTTCTAGCACACAGTTAGAATATCTGAATTCTAATACTGTCCATGCTACTTGTTGTATTGGCTGTGTGACTTCAGACAAGTCGTTAAACTCTCCAAAATAATACCTACTCTGTCTACTTATAGGCTCAAATGAGATGATGTGTGCAAAAATCCTCTGAAAACTGTTAAGCACAATCCAACTATGATAATGACAAGGAACAGATGGTATTTGAGACACTTTCGCCAGAAGCAGCACAGGTGTTCTCGCTCCACTCAGTATATGTGGACTTGTAAAACTGTTTATTGAGTTTTACATTTTTAAGTCATATTTTAATTTTTTTTTACTATTTAAAGGAATTCTCTTTTAAATGCTTTATAAAGAAACAATTATAACTATCATCTAATTTATTTTAAGTATTAAGCAAGAAACTTATGTGATGATAAAGTTTTTTTATGGTCATATAATTAATCTCACTACTGAAATATTGTTGGTTGGTAAGGAAATGGCCTGGCCAACTTTATTAGAGATAGGAAGAAAGAGCACCATCTACTGGCTGTGTCTTGGAGTAAATGAACTATTTCTACCTGAGAGTTCAGTAATTTTTTAAAAGATTCACTGTAGAAACATATCTTAGAAGAATTAAAGCTTTATATGATAAGAACTGAAATTATAAGACAGAGTAGCAATTCAGACTTCATAAATGTTGTACTGAGGCATAACATGCTGTTATGGCCTTTCTTGATACTTGAAGAGTTTTATGTTACTGTGAACTTAACATGAAAGGAAGAGGAATTGTGAATACTCTGGTATATAAAGAAAAATAGTACTATTTTGGATGTCTTTAATATGTATGTGTTTCAACCTGAAAAACAGATTTAAACCATTGTAGACAGATATATCAATTGTCACTAACCTTTCTGTTTTAGGATGGGTTTCCATATGCCGCCATTCTGTTCCATTTCCCATTTACACCTTCATGTTCTAGCACCAGTGAATCAGCTTGGCTTCATATCAAAATTGATTTATAGAGCCAATTCCTACTGGTTTATAACAGTAAGTGTTATTGTTGTATCAGCAGCATACAAATGTATTTAAAATAACTTGTCCTTTTTAGTTTTTCTTTACTTGGCAACAATAGGTACTTAGAGCTTTCACAGAATTAGTCAACTGTTTTAGCATATTGCTTGCATATATCCAAAATAATCTTTTTAATTTAGGGGATTTTCCAGGTCATCAGATCGATAGGAAGAGGTGCTGTGGCTAAGTTTTCCCATTGCAAACAGGGGATATGATATAGAAGCACTAGACTTTGGAGTCATATCTACTTAACTGAGGGACCAGGTCCAAGTTTCTTAACCTTTTTAAGGCTCAAGTTCTTATCTATTTCCTGCAGATAGATAATAGTACCTGCTTCATAGGGTTAATGAAGGGATTGATGGGGTAATTCACATGTATAACACTTAATACAGAACCTGGCACATAGTAAGTGCTGAGTAAATATTACCTACTGCCTTTATCATCATAGCCATCAACATCATCATTGTAGAAGTTGACTTTTTATGATTTCTGATAGTCAGTTTAAACACCATAAAAAAGGGCTGCAGTAGTAGCACCAACTACCGGATCTGAGACTGAAGCTGTGTGTCTTAAAAAATTGCAGAATTTTGCTTTGCTGAGGCAAAAGCGAAATAGAATTCAGCTGTTTAGAGGCCTATGGTTCTGACAGTCAAGCCTTAGTTATTAAATGACTTAGGTCCTTGTAGGGCTTCTTGGCCAGTAATTTACCAGGCTCTTATTTTATATGTCCATGATGATGAGGTGACTTATAGTTGCTATATCTCAATAACCATCAAATAATATTTAGTTACCATTAGTTAATGCATGGTGTTATTCAAGTTATAGTAAAGAAGTTAAAAAGCATCTGATTTCTAGAAACGTCAGATTTCAGACACGTTGTCTTTTTAACATGGGTGTCCAGATGATTTTATTTAACTAAAAATGAAAAAAGAAAAACTTTTATATTTCCCAAAAAAAGCCATAAAGCAAAGTCAAAAGTAAAATAAAAAGCAAAATATATATATTTAAAATATATATGAACACACACACATATATTTGAAATAAAAAAGTGGGACATTCTGTAGAACAGCTAGTGTAGTCTCTTTAAAAGTCAGTGCAATATTTTCTACAACATCCATGCTTTTGTAATAAAGTAATTAAAATACATTTCTGTCATGTTTTTAACTGTATTTTCTTACACAAAAGACTAACATTTTTTAATTGGAAAAAAAAAGTGAACAAAATTGTAAGATTTGCCAATGGTTCATCCTGGGAGTCTGAACTCTTCTTAAATCTGCGAGTTTGTCAGTATTTATTATAAGACTTTGAAGAAATTGATGTTTATGAGACTTTGAAGAAATTAAGGTATTAGCATTTATTCTAAAATCTCTTATATAATGTTCCAGATTATATGATAGAGAAAAGCTCTCTGAATTGGTATAGTGAGATTTTAGTTTACTTTATAAAGCTTTAGTATTATATGTATTTTCCCTTTCCTTATGAAAATTTTTAATGAATATGCAAAATGAATAGGTAAAAATCTGCCTGTTTATATACAATATAAACTTTCCTATAGTTTATGAACTATTATATTTCGAATTTTTTTTGGCACAATGTTTTTAGGAACAACATGTGTAGTATCCAGCTCTTATGCTGTGGCTTATTATAATAGGAATGCCTTTAGAATTATTTGATACAAGTTATCATATCTAGCATTAATTTTTTTCCTTTTAAATTAATTATTCGATACAGGTTATCATATCTAGCATTAATTTTTTTTTCCTTTCAAATTACAGGTTGATTATTTGATTGAAAAACTAAGAACATGAAAATGTCAACAGTGGAAGATTTTCCTAATCTTGGCTTAGCATAAACTAATATTTTGGTCCCTTTGAGGTTTAATTGCAACTTTCAGGTTTGTTGGGTTTTATGAGAGGCTGTTCCTGAGAAGCCTTAAGTCCTTTCTGAATGAATGTGTTTCCTGAGATCAGCGATATAATTTATACGAATGCTTTGTCATTGACCTTTTTGTTTCAGTGGTTACTTATCAAAGTTATAAGATACTGTATAGGTAAAATACCACTAAAACAAATTCAGTTGATCAAGAAGGGCTCTGTATTAAAAGATTCAAAGTTTTCATTTCTCAGTAGATAATCAAATTTTAATAGCAATTTATTTATTTATGCATATTCACTATGAAGAATAAACTAGTATAGAAGGTATTTTATTGGGACCTTTATTACTATGAAGGAGAAAAAGAACTACTTGACAATTTTGTAGATTGTATGTAAATTTTCAAAATATAGAATAGGACAATACACAGCAATCTGTGATTTTGTTGGTGGGAAGAATTGTATATGTGTCACTTTTCACTTAAATTTCAGATGTCAGTTTTCATTTCCTGAAGCCTAGCATCTTTGTCATATATTGGTCCAGAAAGCTGAGAACATAATTTCTAACAGTGAATTTAAAAACAAACAAACAAACACAATTTGACTGTCCAGCAGAATTCACTGTAATGGAATTTTACCTGTAAGAACATAAATGAGGACAAGCATAAAATGGTTATATTGATTTATTAAAACTGGTAGAAACTGTTGCTTTATGGCTTGTTTTTTGTATCAAAGGGAAATTAGAATAAAAAGTGGAGAGAGAGCTTTTATCATAAAAAAGGCCTGATTTGAAAGTGCATATAGGCTTAGATGACAAAATTTATTTTAATAACTATAATAATAATATTGATATATCATTTCATAAGGCATATTTCTTAGGAATTGCCTTTTGGTGCTAAGCCATTTTAATACTTCTGTGTAATCTACAGTAACAATGGTGAATATGAATGGAGAGCAGGTGCTCAAAGCTAATCCTATATTGTGCCAGTGTACAGGAATATAAATAAACATAAAAATGTATTGATGTTGGAAATAGGCTGTAATTACTAGTTCCCTTTCTCTCTCTTTTTTTTGGGGGGCATTATTAAAAAAAAAAACATTGTTTTAAGTAATGAAATACTTATTGCAATATTTGGTTAAAACATCTGGAGTCAATATTGTTTAATTCATTCATTTATTCATTCAGCAAACATTTTTTGAGCATTTAACATGTACCAGACTCTGTGCTCAGGGAGTATAGAAATGAGAAAAGACAGTCTGCCTTCAATAGCTAATTCAGGGGTCAGACAAAATTAGTGAATAGAATTTAGTGTAGCAAGTGCTATAATGGTTATATGTCCACAGAAGACGCTGTGGAGGGAGAAACAGTTCTGAGAGCAAGTGGCAGGAAAACTTCAGTATTGAAGACTCAATGTTAGGCAGGCAGACAGTGGCAGTTTAGGCTAATACCTCCACATGTACTTTTCTTAAGTTCTTTTTCCACTTTTATTTACTTGACAATGGAACTGAAAGTCAAAATTTCATTTTAATCACTAGAGGCGGAGAAGGGGATTTGGAAGTAGGGGTTATGGCCTCTTAAAATTGCATTGCAAGTTTTTCAGTACTGCTTTGTGAAGTAGCTCATGGAGGACCTATTTGGATTGACAGTTACAAGTTTCTATACATCAGTGAAAATCTGACCAGTTCCAGGAAAGGAATTTCAACATGTGCAACCTTGCTTTCCTATGTGAACTTGCAATGATATAATTGACAATAGTGTGAGAGATATTTAATGTATTTAAAGCCTAATGGGTCTCTTCAAAAATGTGATTATCCCATTGATTTAATTTATATACTCTCTCATACAAATTTTTCTTCTTTGTTGTAAAACCCTTGGAAACTCACATTTTTAGTCTAGATTCTCTGTTTTTGCTTGTAAAGATTAATAATCAAATTACAATTAAAATTCATTTAGCCTTTTCAGTAGTTTCTGGTAACTCCCTAGCTATGTAACCACTAGCGAGGGAGTGGTTAATAACCACTAACCAACACAAAGCTAATTTATAACCTTTCTTAAAAATGGGTATAGCAGTATTGAGAGCATTATTTGTACATGTTATGATAGTATCTGTTTGTAATTGCAGAATTATAAAATTAGTAATAATAAGCGATTTCAAACTGTGCTTACTTAGCTAGGAGAAAGCTAAATAAAAATGGAAAAATACTGCATCAAATTTTGCCTCTCGGGTCTCTTTTAATAGTACTACAAACAGAATTCCAAATGAAAGTCTTTAATAAATTGGCTAATTGTAATATGTGAAGGATTCACTGTCAGAGATGTTGAAATACCTCTTTTTTAATATAAAGATTCCAAGGTCAAGAGCACAGTCTATATTGTTGTAACACTCAAACACTCCCTAGATTTTGATGTCAAAAGATCACCTGCAAAAGCTGATGCCCACGATTTAATTGTCAAGTCACTGAAATGAAGTTGATACCTGTTGATTCTTCTGTTCATCAATCAGCTTTCTTCTAGTAATATAAATACAAAAAATCAGATCTCAAATTCATTAAATCAAGTCAGATCCTTGTTGTATGATTATTAAAACCACATAGGTAGAGATGGATCCACAGTCAGCAATTATGTATAAATTATCCCTAAGCCAAATAAACTTCCAAGTAAGTGTATTGTATTTTCTGATATAAAACAGGCACCTCAGGCACCTCAGGCTTAAAATATAGTGCAGTACTATTCAGCAGCAAAAATGGGCCATTTATACATACTACATGGATGAATCTCAGCAACACTGTGAAAAGAAACTTTCACAAGAGTATATACTACAGGGTTCCATTTATATGCAGTTTTGGAACAGGCAAAAATAAGGTGGAAAAAATCAGAGCAGTGGTGGCTTTTGGGCTGGTGTGAGGGCAGAGATTGACTTGGAAGGGGCATAAGGAAACTCTGGGGTGATGATACTATTCTGTATCTTGATAGAGATTTGGGTTACACAAGTATATGCATGGACAGTTTCGACATTACCTATGACCTCTGCTGCTGGGACCTGTTAACTATTCAATTACTTTGCTGACTCTGTGTTGTACCAGTCTCAACACTGTAGTGGCATGTTCTAACCAGAACTCAAAATTCTCCTAACTTCTGGTGCTTACTTCCCAGGAATGGCTCTGGTTTTTGTAATCAGCAGCCTCTGTCAGAGGCTCTAATGCTTGCACTATTAGCAGTCCTACAGGAACCAAGTCTCCATTAGATCTGCCCTGGTGGAAGACAGACTATGAACCTCCTTGCCCCTTCTAGTACATAAAAACAAACATGTCTCTATGCTGGTTTTGAACACTAACTTTCAAAGTCCCTACTCTTCTGCAGCTCCTTAATAATTCCAGTAAGCTCAAAACAATTTAACAGGTCTGGCTGGGAGTCCCCTGAAGGCAGTTTAATTGATCTCAGAGTTGTTCCACACTAACCCTCATGGCCTGTGCAAGGTTAATCTCTACTTCCCCACACCATGTGTCTTAGTTACCTAGTGCTTTTGTAACAAAAATAGCACAAATGGGTGGCTTTAAAGGACAGAAATTAATTTTCTTGCTGTCCCAGAGGCTAAAAGTCTAAATCAGGGCCTTGGCTGAGTCAATTCCTTCTATGGGCCTCTTTCCCAGTTTCTGGTGGCTGCTGGTAATCCTTGGTATTTCTTTGTTGTATAAGGTCCTCACATGGTGTCTGCCTTACTTCTGTGTGTGTCTCTGTCCTGCTTTTTATAACTCAAGTAATTAGGTTTAGGGCCCACCCTACTCTGGTATGTCCTAATTAACATAACAAAAGGAAACCTTTATTTCCAAACAGGATCATATTTACAGGGTCTAGGACCTCAACACATATTTTTGGGAGACACAATTTAATCCATAACAGTATGATTCCAACAGTCTTGAGATTCATGATTCAGACGCTCTCCTGGTAATTTCTGGAGTGGGGATTTAGTGTAAGGTACAACTTCCTCAACCTTAGCTCAAAGGATCCCAGGTGAAAAACCATTGTAACCTGATTCCATCTGGGTTCTCCTAGGCTCTGCATTCTCATTTGCTATCTGCACAGCATCATATTAATTCAGTCATGAAAATTAACTCTTTGATATCTCCTAAAAAAGTGCCCCATCAGATTTTGTTGTTTGGAAAATTTTACTGAAGATTTGACAATTTCTGGGGATGGGTCATATCAAGCACTGCACGTCCTTTCTCTAATATTTCATTGGTTTTCTGTCCCACCTTGGCCTCTCAAAGAGGAAACAACTGCCTTTTCTTGTCTCATACAGAGCACTTTTATCCCCTTCTTTGGACGCTTGGGGCAAGAAAAATCTGTTCCTCAGACACTTATCTCAAGTGGACTTTGTTGTTAGCAGCCGACTTGCAATCCCATGTATGCGGAGTAGAACTGCTCCATAGGGTTTTCAAGACTGTGACCTTTCAGAAGCAGATAGCCAGGCCTGTCTTCTGAGGCACATTTGGGTAGGTTTGAACCACCAACCTTTTGTAGCCGTTTGCACCATCCAAGGACTCCCCAACTGGGCTTATCAAGACATTTTCCTAACAAAGGCAGATCTCTTCCTAAAAGAAATTCTCATATGGCTCTTAAAAGAGAAAAGTCTGCATAAAAACAATTTATTAGCCCATACACTATGCCAAGTATTGTTAAACGCTCTACTTAATCCTAGTGACAGTTCCTTGAAGGAAGCAGTATTATCCCAGTTTAGGTAAGAGAATTGAGGCTAGGAGGTGAAGAAATTTGCTCAAGAACATATAGCTGGTAAATGGTGGAACTGAGAGGTTTCAACCTTGGACTGACAACCACAACCTACGTTCTTAATCACTACTAAGTTCCTGGCACATGATGCTGGGGATATAAAGGATATCCTTTGTATCACATTCCAGGCGGGAGAACCGCTAGGAATTACAATGTCTGGTCAAAACCTGCTCGGGAAAACAATGCAGCCCCTCACGCCAACTATTACCGGACTTTGGGAGCTCCAACGGAGACAGTACATCCCAAAACATCCGACCTCTCCCACAGCGGCCAGGATTCGGTGTGCGCCCGCAAGGAACGGCGGGACAGCGCCCGCCTCGCATTGCTTCCGTTTCCGATCGCTCAGGCACCCGCCTCAGCGGAAACGCCGATCAGCGGTGAAGGGGTACGAGTGAGGGAGAGAAATACCGCGCTGTCCGCGCCGGCGCACCGTGGGCGGCGGCAATGGCGCTGCCCTGCACGTTTAAGAGGTATCTGCTGCTTATGGCGCAGGAGCACCTGGAGTTTCGTCTGCCGGTGAGCGCGCAGCGCCTTTCACAACTTTCGACCCGGAGGGGAGAGCGGGGCGGGGGTTGGTAGTGGGTGGAGGCGGCAGATGCAGGCTTAGTACTCAGGGATTTGGAGGTCTGTGCTTGTTTGGGGGATCACGCGTCCACCAATTCCTCGGCCCCTGGGGTGAATCCTAGCGCCGCGAAGGGTGTGTGAAAAAGTACGAAACAGACCACCTCATAGTGGCCAAGCACTTTCATTCATTTCTCTGCTCGTGTGCCGGGTACTGGAGTTAGCAGGTGAAAATGATGGGCTCTCTCCCTCCAAGATCTCTTCGTCTCGCGGAGGATGGAGACATCCGAAACGAAAACACTCAAGGCAGTGTTTTAAGTGTCAAATATGCGGGTGAAGCTCGATGGAGGAGGAAGTGTGATGGGGAAGTGGGGAAAAGTACTTTATTTACTCAACAAACATTTTCAGAATACCTGTTATTGAATGTGCCAGACACGAATATAATGATGATAAAGACAGCCCCTGCCTTCAGAGAGAAGGAGACCTGGTGGCAGAGTGGTTAATGCCAACCAAAAGGTGGATGGTTATAATCCACCAGTCGCTCCACGGTAGGAAGATGTGGCAATCTGCTTCTGTAAATATTTACAGCCTTGGAAAACCTATGGGGCAGTCCTACTCTTCTGTCCTATAGGGTCGCGATGAGTCGGAATCGACTCCACGGCAGTGGGTGGGCCTTCAAGGAACTTACTGTCTAGGCAAAGGGCTGAGCAAAACATAAACACAGAATTATATAATAACGTAGTAAGTGCAGTGATAGATACACAGGGTAATATGAGAGCACATAGAAGTGGAATCTATTTTTCAAGGGCATATGTCTTACAAAACAATTAGAATGAACTCCTGAGGACCTGGACCATCTTTATGGTTTGGGGGCAGGTTGGCCTTTAGAGAAGGATTCCATTAGAAGACGGCATTTGAACTGTGACCTAAAGGATGAATAGGAGTTAGCCAGGCCAAGTAGATGGCAGAGAATGGTAAGAGTATAGGAGAAGTAAACTCCAGGGTAGCAAAGCCTTGTATACTCTGGAGTTTGGAAGGGGAATTTATTGAAGGGTTTTAATCAAAGGAATGACTCAGTCAGATTTTTAAAAAAAAAAATCACATCCACAGCAATATGGAGGGCGGATTTGAGATTTGAGGGAAATAAGACTGGAGCCAGAGACCAGTTAGGAGTCTACTGGAATAGTCTTATTAATAGACTAAGAAGGCAAGGGATAAGAGGATTGGACAGACTGGGAAAATACTTAGTTGATAAAATCATCAGGGCTTGATGATTGATTGAATGGTGGGCGGGAAGTACCGGTCAAGGATGACTCCTGAGATGCACAGGGGTGCCTCCATGTAAGCTAGAGAACACAGGCAGATACACGACTTAAATTTTGGTTGTGCTGAATTTGATGTGCTTGTGTGACATCCAAGTGGAGATGACCAGGAGACAGTGGATATATGAGTGTGCAAAGAGCATGATAGAGTGATCTGGAATATTAATAAATATTTGAGGATCTTCTGCGTGGGAAAATTAAAAACCATGGAAATCTGTTGCTGTGGAGTCGATTCTGACTCATAGCGACCCTATAGGACAGGGTAGAACTTCCCTGTAGGGTTTCCGAGGAGAGGCTGGTGTATTCGAACTGCGACCTTTTGGTTAGCAGCTGAACGCTTAACCACTGCGCCACCAGGGTCCATATAGGAAAACTAAGAGGATGAAATTACTTAGAAAGTGTAAGGGCAAAAAAGTGATGGGCCTAGTGCAGATGCTTGGAAACATTGGTGTTAAGGGAGGTTAGAGAAGAGGTGGCAATGAAAAAGATAAGTGTCAGAATAGGAAGGATGTAAAGCCACAGAAATCAGGAAGGTAAAATTTTAGGAAATGGAGAAATGGATAATGTTGAATGCAATTGCTTTTTGGTTAAACAAGAATGAAAAAGTGCTTATTGACACTCTAAATTAGAAGAAAGTTGGCAAATTTTTTTAGAGCTGTTGTGGAGAGTTAAGTGGAAAAGCTAGACTACTTGGTTTAGTAGTCACTGGAAAATGAGGAGGAGATAGGGTAGAGAGCTCTTAAGAGCGTAAGAAGAGGAAATATGAGATTGGTTAAAGTTTGAGGGGGATTACAGTTGTACTCTGACACACATGGGATTGCCATGAGTTGATTCTGACTCAGCAGCAACTGGTTAGGATCAAGGTAGGAACCCCTTTCTCCCCCTCAAGAGTAGTGATTGAGTAATGTTTGTAGGCTGAGGAGTGAAGGGGAGGATGGATATAAGGGCAGAGTGGCACATCTTGGCCTTTCAGTAGAAGGGGAGATTGAGTAAAAGGGTTAGGATGGGGTGACTGCCTGAGGCCTTAACCTTGAATGAGTCAAAAGTTATTTCTTGAGAGATGGGGAACAGCAGTTGAATCGGACACTTGGGAAAAAGAGTAGAATTTGAAATATAGTCACTGAGAACAACATGTATTAGAACAATGCTAAAAACCCAGCTGCTGACAGAAATCATGTGTTTGTAATTGTGCTAAGATTCTGTGATTTTCTTCAGTAGTGCTCGACCTGTTGGCTTTAGACGTTATGAAGGAAGACTCTGGCATTGATTCAGTATAAATGTTTTACTGGACAGATGCATGGGGAAGATAGAGGTGCAAGGGCATAGAGTTTCATAGAGGAGGCAATATTTTAATTGGGTCTTAATTGATGCGGAGATGTTCTGTGGGTGAAGAGGACTGGAAAGCCCACTTTAGTGATTAACAAAAACATATGCAAAGGCAGAGGTGTGGTTGGTGTTGGGGGAAACGGAGTAGTGGGAGATGAGGCTAGAGAGGTGGGTAGGATCCAGATTTTAAAGTCTTTTGAATCCATTCCAAGGAGTTTAGACTTTTAGATTTAATGGAGAGTCATTGACTTTTTTTTTAAGGAAGGAAGTACCAAGATCATTTTTGTTTAGAACAATAATGTTAGGGGATCAGTTAAAGGAAGGCACGTATAGGATACTAGAGTGGAACTAGACAGGCCAAGAAGGATGAGTGCATATCATAAGGCAATGCAATGGGAATACAGTGGTTAGGCTGTAGTCTCAAGGATAGCATCCCTAGTACTTGGTAATTTTACCTGTCTCTTCCCTCTTAAATTCTTTTGTTATGTTAATGAAGTCATATTAGAGTAGGATGGATTCTAAACCTAAAACCTAATTCCTTCTGAGTGGTGTCTCTTATACACACACGCACACGCACACATGTGCGCGCACACATACACACACACGGAAGATGCCATGGGAAGACAGACACATAGCAGATGCATCTCCAAACCCAAGAATGCCAATGTTTGTTGGCTACTAGAAGCTGAAAGAGACAAGGACCTCCTGCTGGAGCCCTGAATTTGGGCTTTTAGCTTCCAGAATTGTGAGACAATACATTTTTGTTCTTTAAAGCCACCCACTGGTGGTATTTTTGGTTATGGAAGCACTCGGAAATTAAGACAGCTTACTGTGGCTGTAACTGAAATTTTTCAGAGCCCTAAGTTTTGTTTGGTGTTGAAATTTAAATGCCTCAGGTCGGTCATCACCCTGCCACTCTTTTTTATCATATTACACATACCTGTCGCTTTTAGTAGACTTTGAGTTCCTGTGGCAGGATCCAAGGCTTGTTCATCTTTGTATTCTTGAACTTAGCTCTGAGCATGGGACATGGGCATTCCTTAAAACCTTCACATATTCTAGTTTACAATTTCTTAACTATGTGTGTTTTGTCCTTTCTGATTTGACTGTCATTCTTCAGATAGATGAAAACATGATAGAAATTTGTGGTTCTCTTTTCTCTCTGTCATCTGTTAATATTACAGTTTTCCCTTCTAAAAAGGCCTTTTAGACTTTATGCATTATACCTATATATTTTGCACTTTGAGAAATCTATTTTCCTGATGTCTGTGATACATGTTTGTGCTTTTCATTTATCTCCTGTGTATTATTGATTCTGAGATGTCACACCTGTGTTGTCCCAAGGATCTTGCTGCTTTCACATCTTCAGACAGATTTCTCTTGTTAATGACATGAAATTCAGTATATCAATCCTTTCTTTTTCTCTGCTTCCTGAGAGGTGAATTTCAGACAAGTAAAGAATTTATCAAATGCTTGCTTTTACTCATATTTCATATGGGCTGTTGAAGTCCCCCATAACTATCATTGTCTTGCCTACATTCTGATTTTGTCCATGCAGCCTGCAGAGTACCCTACCAAAAAACCAAAGCCATTGCCACCGAGTTGATTCCAATTCATAGTGACCCTGTAGGACAGAGGAGAACTGCCCCATAGGGTTTCCAGTGAGTGGCTGGTGGATTCAAACTGCTGACCTTTTGGTTAGCAGCTGAACTCTTAACTACTCTGCCACCAGGGCTCCAGAGTACCCTAAAATCTGTTATTCCCCCTTTTCCCTCCTTTTAGGCTTTCGTACGTATTCTTTTATCCCAAACTTCTAGGTTTGTGGATTTTTATCAAGAATATACTTTTTTGACTTATAGTGGTACTGTATTTCATTTATACTTTTTCATTATACCATTTTTAACTTCATCCCAGTTATCTTGATACCAGGATCACTTTTTTCTCCCTGTGTCAAAATTTAAGTTTAATTGATTTATTATCTCCACTCTCCTATGTTTATTAAAATATACCTGAGACCTTCAAACTTCTTCCTGATCTTTTTATTGCCTTTCCCCCCAGTAATCATTTCACAGATGATAAAACCAAAGCATAACTTGTTTAAGGTCACACAACCTACGTGCCAGATTTGGAATTTGACTTAAGTTTGTCAGCCTCCATATTTCTACTGGAAGAAAATAGAGGAATACTATCTATACATTCTGTACTAGTTATCCATTGCTGCATAACAAATTACCCCCAAACTTAGTGACTTAAAAGCACAAAAATTATGCCACACATTTTATGAGCCTGGAATTCAGGAATGGCTTAGCTGTGTGGTTTTGGCTCAGAGTCTCTCCTGATGTTATAGTCAAGGTGCCAGCCAGGATGGCAGTCATCTGAAGACTTGACTGGGGCTGGAGGACCCACTTGCAGTGCTGTGCACTGACGTGGCTATGGCAGAAGGGTTCAGTTCCTTTCTGACTCTTAGCCATCCTGTGTACAACATAATGAAACACTGCCTGGTCCTGCTCCATCCTTGCAGTTGTTGCTGTGTTTGAGCCCATTGTTGCAGCTACTGTGTGTCAGTCAGTATCGTTGAGAGTCTTCCTCTCTTTTGCTGACTCTCTGCTTTACCAAGCATGATGTCCTTCTCCAGGGACTGGTACCTCCTGATAACATGTCCAAAGTACGTGAGATAGAGTTTCATCATCCTCGCTTCTAAGGAGAATTCTGGCTGTATTTTTTCCAAGACAGGTAATGTTTGTTTTTCTGACAGTCCATGGTATATTCAGCATTCTTTGCCAGCACCATAATTCAAAGGCATCCATTCTTCTTTGGTCTTACTTATTCATTGTCCAGCTTTCACGTGCATATGAGGCGATCAAAAACACCCTGGCTTGGGTCAAGTGCACCTTAGTCCTCGCCGTAGCCCGTTGCCGTCTAGTCGATTATGACTCATAGCAACCCTGTAGCTTAAATGTCCTCACAACATGGGGATTGTTGTCCCCTAGAGGGAATAATCCACACTGAAGCCATAATGTGTTTTATGACCCAGCCTGGGAAGTCACACACTGTCTCTTCCTTCACATTCTGCTTATCAAAAATGAGCCACTAAGTCAGCTCAAGGAGCCCTGGTGGCACAGTGGTTGAGAGCTATGGCTGCTAACCAAAAGGTCGGCAGTTCAAATCCACGAGCTGCTCCTTGGAAACCCTGTGGGGCAGTTCTTCTCTGCCCTATAGGGTCGCTATGACTCGGAATCGACTCGATGGCAACGAATTTGTGTTTTTTTTTGGTTTTAACTAGGAATCTAGCCAGCTTCAATTTGTAGACTAGAAATCGCTGAGTACTTTACGCAAAGAGGAAACCCTGGTGGTGTAGTGGTTAACAGCTACAGTTGCTAACCAAAAGGTCGGCAGTTTGAATCCAGCAGGCGCTCCCTGAAAACTCTGTGGGGCAGTTCTACTCTGTCCAATAGGGTCGCTATGAGTTGGAATCTACTCGCCAGAGCGAGTTTTTTTTTTAGGCGAAGAGATCATTCATTTATTCATTCCTTTGGTAAATATTTATTAGATGCCTATTTCGTGCTAGCCCTTGTACTAAGCCCTACAAGTCACTGAAATAGTTTTCCTACCTTCTGCTTATTTTGGGACCCTTAGAAATTTCTTTTGTAACCACTGCAGAAATTACTAAAAACTTGATTAAAAGCTCCCTGTCCTTGTTCTTGGTCTCTACCAGTTTGTTAGCACAGGCACTCTGACTAAAAACATTAACATGTACTTTCCCATGGTTCTTAATAGTAATTTCCCAAAATAATTTACTCGCTTCTTGTTTTTCTAACCAGTTCCATTCAACAGTTTGAGAAATTGGATTGAATTAAGACACCTGGGTTTCTGTCTCTTAGTGTTCCCTTGAGTCTTTGAGCACATTAATTACTCTGTTTTCCCTTTTGTTAGGATAAATATGTACTTAATTCTGAAAACTAGGAGCAACTAGTTAATCGATTAATGGTAGTTTTTCCTTATATAAAGTTACTAGTCCATAGTTCTCTCTGCCTACTGTGAGATCACCAAAATGCTTTAATTTTCTTATTAATACCTGTTGAGTGATTATTACTTTCCATACTCGCAATATTTCCTGTGAATTCTGAGGGATGGAAGGAATCTAAAAGATTGGTCAGCATAAGCCCTTAACTGATATTTGAGTGTCTTCTACAACATCCTGTAGCAGTTCTTTTTTTATTTGTACAGAATGCGATATTTGTAAATGATACAAAACTCTAGTAACGTTCTTGAAGAACAATTTTGAAGTGTTTTATTATAAATGCTGTTATTAAAAACTGAAATTGAATGTGAGTATAATGTTAAAATGTATTCTCTATAATATTTTTATTATAGGAAATAAAATCTTTGCTTTCACTTTTTGGAGGTCAATTTGCTAGCAGTCAGGAAACTTATGGAAAGGTAAGTTAAATTCTGTTTCTTCATTAGAGCCTGTGCAGTATACTTACAAATGGAAGCTTGAGATTTGAAGAGAAGAACTGCGTATCTTATGTTTATATTTGTGAGGTTACTTATCTCTGTTTCTAGGGGTAATTGAATAAAAAGGATATTTTGAAAAATTGTAGTTTTGGAAACTAATTTAGATTCACTTCCAGTATTTATTGATTTTATTAGTTATAATTTTTAATTTAACAGTTGTTCCATAATTTGTATCTGTGTCCTTTATTAAAAAAAAAGGGCTGTCTTCTGTTGATGAGGTATATTTAGAATTAGAGTTTTTAGTGTTAGTAGCTGAACTTTGGGCTTAGATTGGAAATCATTTTAAACTTTGAAATTGTATATTATGTAAGATTGTGAATTTATGAGCTTTTTCTTTTGTACATGATAATTTATCAGAGTGTATTAGAAAAAGTTTGGGAAATAGGAAAAGAAAAAATCATTCACAGTTCTTCTTCCTTGACCTGATTTATAATTTGGTGGTACTGCCTTCCAGTCTTTTTACTTATACTTTTTCCCTCTTAGTTGTAATCCCACTGATCACGGGCTTCTGAGTTCTTTTGTTTGCACTGGTAATATTAATATAGGCACATTAATAGAGGCACAGCCTTCATCACTAACATGGCTGTATAATATTTTCGATTGACTAGCTCTACCATAATAATCTAACCATTTCATTTTCAGTCAGGTTGCTTTTAAAATTTTCTTAATAAAAATAATGCTAAGATGCCAGTCTTTTTTCCTGTTTGGATTATTTTATATTTTTCTCTAAGGTAGTGTAAATATTAGAAGAAGAAAGAGGGAATGGACAAGGAGAATTTTTTTTTTCAAGAGCTGAGAGAACTTAAGTTGAAAGTCCCCTGGGTTGGAATTCTATTCCTGAGTGACTTTCACTTGAGGGGAAGAGGAGGAGGAAAGGAGGGAGAGGGTGGGTCAAACTGGGTAAAGGTGATGAACAGAGAGGTTAGCGTTCCTCTGAGTTTTGCTGTGTTCTGGCAAGGGGTTATCTGAGTGGGGCTTGAAAGTCCTCTTAATCTTGGATGTTGAGACAGGGGATTAGGGAAAATCCCCTGATGCACCTAGAGTTTTTTTTCTTTAGAGGAAATAATAAAGTTATAAAAATTAATGATAATTTAAAAATGTATTCTATGATTTTCTATCACAGTTATTCCAAAGGGCCCCTCCTCCACTTCTTGGGTGGCCACAAGTACCTAGGAAAAGAGGGATCATTTAGCAACAAATAAATACATTACTTAGAAGTTAAAAATAAAATACCTATATTATAAGGAACGATTAGCAACAATAGAAAAAAATTTTAGAGATTATACTTTGGTGCATAAAATGCATTAGTTCTTTTAGTCAATCAACTTTAATGAAACGACAAATGCAAAATTAACCTTAAATTTAAATAAAGTTAATTTGCTAACATTTTCATCTATAGGGTCATTTATAAAAGTGTTTTTGCGTTGTACTATATTATCTATCTTAAGAGGTCACCTATTGATTTACATTTTTACTTTTGGAACGATTTTATTTTGGTTAGAGTCAGATCATGTATTCTTACACGAAATAGGAATCTCTCCTTTTTGACTTCTTGAATGAAAGCATATGAGGCCACATAACCACTTAGAAATAAATTGTATATTATTATTTTTCCTTTCAGTCTCCATTTTGGATTCTTAGCATTCCCTCTGAAGATATTGCCAGAAACTTAATGAAACGGACAGTGTGTGCCAAGTAAGAGAAACTTATAGTGTTCTCCTGCATGAGTGTACACCATATTCCTTGTAATTACTCTGACCTCCTTTTTGCTATATTGTCAGAAAGTAGAAGAGGTTGGTTGTGGGGTGGGGAAAGGCTCACTTTAGGTTGCAGTTACATGCTTTTGCCACTGGATGGTGGTGGGGGAACGGAGGAGAGCTATTCCGCTGAAACTGAGGGTGAGAGAATCTCAGTGGTAAAATGTAGAAACAGTTGTTTTAGAATAATTTTTTGAAACTTCCGTATTAAGCAGGAGTATAGTATGAAACAAACGCTATGTCATTAATAGGATAGATGCCACATTCAATTATGTCTAAAGTATTCGAAATCCAAAAATGTTTTTCTTATATGTGATTTTTAGTTTGATGAGTATATTTGTGAAGTGCAGGATGACAGGGCGAGGACCGTCAAGAAATATGTTTTTCTGTTTTATGTGTTAGAGAAATGAATTCTGATTTTCATATCTTAGTATGAATGCATGTCTTGATGCATTGTTTATACTACCTGAGTGTTTCTCGATTTTATTATTAGCATCTACTTTTTCCTTTTTCTTTCTGTTTTTTATTTTTTTGCACTGTTAAAATTTTTTTTCTATTTTCAGCTTTGCAAATTAAGCTGAATTCTCAATTACTATCCTAAAAATTGAGCAGCTTATGTTATCCTTGAGTTGCCTTTTTTCCTGAGTATTTTGGCAGATTGCTGTAGAGTATCTTTTCTGTAGAAATTATAGTATTTAATAATACAATTCAAATAAGATTTCACATAGATCTAATTTTATTAACATGGTTAGCATTGCTTTAACGCTTGATGTGTAATTACTGTATTATTGAATAGGCTACAACCCCATGTTTAGTTAAATTCAATCTGTTGAATCCCTCAGTCGCAGATTTTATCTTCTCTTAACTAAGCTTCTGATCGAAATTTGTTAATGGGTCTTATTTATTAAGTAAAAATGACAAGAAAACTGAAACATAACTAAAAAAACACACCCTTTTAATAACTATTATTTTAGATTAGCATATTATAATTTATGGCTGTAAGACGTTATTTGAATTCTAAAGATATGGTTTGTTCGATTTAAAATAGCTACTTGAGTATCAAGAACTTTTATACTTACATCAAAGCCCATATCTTCTGATGTATATATTTGACTAATACAGAGTAGCTATGAGGCAGAATCAACTCGACGGCAGTGGGTTTGGTTTGGGTACACAATATACATGTATATGCATGTACACATGCATGTATTCCTACATACAGAATGAAATAACTAAAATAGACTTTATAGACATAGATTCAATACTAACTTAAACTCAAATTTTTGTGTTTAGAACAGAAATTGAAAGTTAATTTTATTTATTTTTAACTTGAAATATCCCCAGCATACCAAAAAAAAAAAAAAAAAAATTAGAGTGAATGCTGTAACAAAAACCTGGTACTTACCTGGTTAAATCTCAGCATTTCAAGATATTTACCACTGATTTTTTTTTTTTTTTTTAATTGTACAGAACAAATAGTTGCTCATGAAACAGTAGTACACATGTTGTTTTATGACATTGGTTAACAACCCCACAAC